CAGGTTCATGCCATCATCGAGTTTTCAGCTTCCTCACTTTTGTAAGATATGCAGCCGCCGGTTGGTCTCTTTGTGCTGGCAGGTTACTCTATTCAGATATCTTATTTTGAAGGGTTAATAGTCAGTTTGTGGGCAGAAAATCTGTGTTTATTCAGGCTTAGAACCGGAGCTGCATGATATGGCTTCCTTTCAGCTCCATGGTCCGGCCCCGCCCCCGCCTTTCATTTTTTGTTTTTTTAGAATTGATGTACTTGAAACATTTTTTGGGGTTGGTTTTGCATTCTTTGGCTATCAATTTCTCATTTTCTAGTTTAGCCACTTTAATTGCCTTTTTGCAAGTATTATTGGCTTCCTTATATCTTATATAGGATGCCTCTGATTTGTCCGATTTAAATGCCCTTTTCTTATTTTTAATCACTTTAATCAATTGAGAAAATAGAGAAATCCTACACTGGGCCTACAAGGTCAGTGGAACTGCAGGGATAATGCTGACTAGCTGCCTAAAAGGTAACAGATTAACTAAACTGTGCTTTCGAGGGCAGCCAAGTTAAAAATCTAGAAAACGGTCTAGCTGTTTGTAAAGTTGCTGAAGTGTATAGATACTAGAGCACTGTTCCTCAATAAATAAAGGTAGGAAAAAGCCAAAATCACGCTAGAACATGAATGATCATTTCAAAGTTATCAGTCAGGGGCGAAGCCTAGCCATCAAGCAGAGGAGATGTTAGGGGCCTGAGCTCCTGCAAACTAAGCCGATTTCTGGAATTTAATAGTCAAAATAGTATAATATAGGAATGGATAAGAAGTCCATTACTATTGGTTGCTGTTGTGGATCTGTGTCGTGGAGATCTTTGGATAACGGTGAGTCTATTTGAGAGCTAATACAAGCTCAGGTGGGATGAGTATTCAGTGGTGTTGATCCCCCACTGATGGGATATAGGAGGTGATGGTAGTCTGTGGGTCCCCCAGAATGGAGAGATTTCAACAGAGGGAGATAAATAAAAACAAAATAGTGCCCTGTGTATATAATACTGTATGTAAAAATCCGCTATGGTATCACTCACCTATTTCGGAACTAGTACAAGCTCAGGTGGAATGGGTGTTCAGTGGTATTGTTCCCCCACTGGTGGGATATAGGTGAGGATGTGTCCCTCATGTGGAGATATTTCGGCAGAGGAAATAAAATAAAAACAGAATAGTGCTCTCTGCGTACACAATACTATATATGGTAAAGGTAGTAATATATTATCTTCACATTTGATTGAGCAGGAGTTACTGCTCACTTTTAGGGCGTGGGTGTTATAATCCCCATCTAGGATTCTTTGGTGAGTAGATCTTCAGGAATTCTGGGCGATCAGGTTAAGAATGGATAAAAAGGTATATAGCACAATAAGTAAAAGGCCAATATTCCTTTATTAATATAACATAAAATTATTAAAATAGCCAAAAACTGGTTTTGCCAACTCAGGGCTTTCTCAAATAGCAATCAAGCATTAACCTGGTACATAGTGGTTTTTATAGGTAATCAATACAGGTTTGAATTTTTGGTGTCATAATTCTCATAACTATAAACATTGTTTTATTATAACAAATTCCAGTAATAATGTTACTAATATGTTATTTAAATGGAGACATTAAACATATCTATTTGTATGGAAAACAAGTTTTTTCTTTATAGTTATGGTTATTATTCCTTTGTATTTTGTTGTGAACCGATCATGTGATGTGGTTCGTCACGTGATCGTCCGCAACGGATTATGGGAATTGTATGCCCTAGACTTCGTTTGGTTATGAGTTTTTGATCAGGTAATGTCTTACCAGACCTTAGAATGGCTGAACTTAACGTACTCGAGAAAAGACAGAAAACTAGCCGAGGTCAGGGACACAGAACGAGACATAGCGATAAGGAAAAGCCAAAAATCAAGTGTACCAGAAATCAGGGAAGTCATAACGAAGCCAAAGTAAAAAAAACAAAAAAAAAACTGAAAAACACGATCAAGAACACACTCTCGGATAACCATCTAAGGGAAACCACGACAGAGCAATGAGCCAAGGAATGAGTGAGTTTAAATAACTCTCTTGCAGATCCGATTTGCTGTACCTAGCTCTTGACCCAAAAACGTGAGTGTGTCTTTTGTGTGACGTCACCCGCACATCAACATTGTCTTTACCGTGGATGGACGTGGGGCCGCAGCGGCGGTCGTGCACCAACATGCCACACAAGCCAGGCATCATGGCAGAAGACTGCCGAGCAGAACTCCCCTCGATCTTCGGAAGGTTATTATCTCCATTTTTGACACATGGATATGAAGGATACGTGACATTACCCTCCACTTGAAGACTGGGCGGGCAGGACCAGGTTTGAGAGGAAATTTGGCGTGGAAAGAATGGATTTTGCAACTAGCATGTATGTCAGAAGCAAGAACCCAAGAACAAATTAGCAGGCCCATAACCCTTCCAATCAACCAGGTACTGCAAAGAACCACGAGAAAATCTGGAATCAATTATGGAGGAGACTTTGTACTCCTCCCGTCCAGCAATAACCAAAGGAGGAGGAGGCACAAAAGGGACAGTATACCTATTGCAGATAAGAGGCTTAAGCAAAGATACATGAAATGAATTCGGTATACGCAAGGAGGCAGGAAGTGAAAGAGAATATGAAACAGGATTGATTCTCAGAACAATTCGAAAGGGACCAATAAACCTGGGTACAAACTTGATGCTAGGAACCTTGAGTCTGATATTTCGTGAGGAGAGCCATAACCAAACACCCACCTGGTAAACAGGGTTGGCAACACGCCACTTATCAGCATGAAATTTGAAACGAGCTGCAGCAGTTTCAAGAGCTGTGTGGACCTAAGTCCATGTCTCATGTCTACATGCAAGATGTTCATCCAGAGAAAGAATAGTGTCGGAAAACACAGCAGGAAGAACAGTAGGATGATGACCGTTGACAAATTTTTTTTTACTATATCCAGATGAGTCATGGGTATCATTATTCCTGGCAAATTCGGCCCAAGGTAGCAAGTCAGACCAGTTTTCCTGAGTGCCATTAATAAAACATTGCAAATATAGTTCCAACAACTGGTTGGCCCTCTCAGCTGCACCATTAGTTTGAGCATGGTACGAAGATGAAAATGACAATCCAAAACCCACCTGTTTGTTAAATCCGCTCCAAAATCATGACACAAATTGGGAACCCCTGCCTGACACAATATCTTGTCACCTGACAATTTTGCGTATAAATATATGAACCAGATCTTGGGAAGAAGGTAACTTTTTGAGCGGAACAAAGTGTGCCATTTTATGGAAAGCGATCAACTAACATAAGGATGGCGGTATACCCTTTAGAAATCGGGAGTTCCACAATGAAGTCCATAGACAAATGACACCATGGAAAACTGGGTATAAGAAGTGGTTGTAATAACCCACATGGTAGTTTATGGGGAACCTTAGAAACCGCACAAACAGTACAAGCCTCCACATACTCTCTGATGTCTTTTCTAAGAGAAGGCCACCAAAATGATCTGGAGACAGCGGATACAGTTTTATTAATACCCGGATGTACAGCTGTCAAATTATTGTAGAACACTCTTAGTACCTCCTCTCTTTCTAGCAAAGGAAAAAACAATCTATCTTGAGGTTTATCTCTAGATGCCTGAGACTGAGCCACCATGATAGCACAAAGAAGAGGAGAAGACAATGAAAGGACAGTAGAGGCAATGATACACTCAGGTGGAACGATAGGGGAGGTCTCTTGTTCAGACTCTATGTCAAATTGCCTAGATAGGGCGCCAGCCTTAACGTTCTTAGGACTCGGCCTGTACATGATGATAAAGTTAAAGCATGACAAGAACAACGACCATCTAGCTTATCTAGAAGACAGACTTTTAGCATCTCCAATGTATGCCACGCCCCCCAACCGCCCCTGCGCGCGCGACCCCCACACATCCCTCCCCCCCCGCGCGCGTGACCCCTCCCATCCCTTCCCCCGCCTTCTAAATACACACACTCACTAGCAGAGACACACTCACTCACAGACACACACACACACACACACTCACTAACAGACACACACACTAACACACACTCACTAACAGACACACACTCGCACACACTCACTAACAGACACACTCACTAACAGACACACTCACTAACAGACACACACACACTCGCACACACTCACTAACAGACACACACACTAACAGACACACACTAACAGACACACACACACACTAACACACACACACACAATAACACACACACTCACTCACAGACCCACACACTCACACACTAACAGACACACACACTAACAGACACACACAATAACACACTAACAGACACACACACTGACACACACACTAACACACACACACACAATCACTAACAGACACACACACTCTAACACACTTTCATTAACACATGTACTTTTTAAACCTCCCCCCCCCCCCTCCAGCCTCCTTACCTTTGGGAGTGCTGGGGAGGGAAGGGGTTCTCTATCTCCCTGGTGGTCCAGTGGCTGCTGGGTGGGCGGCATTGGCGGGCGAGCGGGTGGCTGACGAGGGAGCTTTTCCTGTGAATATGACGTCATCTTCCGGCTCCCAGCCTCACTCTGCGGCGTGCGAGGGAGCTGAGCAGTCAGCTCACAGGAAGAGCTCCCTCGTCAGCCGGCCGCCCGCCAATGCCGCCCGGCGCCCAGCATGTCTGTTAGCCGCGAGGCTAACATGACATTTGCCCTGGGCATTTGGGGGGCGGCTTTTTTTGCCGCCCCCTGAAAAATGCCGCCCAAGGCAAATGCCTTGTTTGCCTCGCGGCTAAAACGCCCCTGGATATACTAATACAAAAGTATAAATGTAGTCTCGGAGAACATCATTAATGAAATCCTGAAATACGGCCAGAGCATTGCATAAGTCGAAGGGCATGACAAGATACTCATAGGGACCACTTCTCGTGTTAAATGCAATTCTCCATTTGTGACCCTCCTTAATCCTTACCAAATTGTAAGCACTTCTAAGGTTCGAGTTTGGTAAAAAAAAAAATGGGCACAAGTGTATACTGAGAATGGGCAGCAGCTGAAATAGCCTGCCCTTTGGAGGGTCCCCGCTCACATCTTAAGCTGGTTTTAGCTCATCTTGTGCCATTACAGAGAGAACATCTCTGAAACTTTGCTTAAAAATCCATATGGGCAGTCCAGATCCGAAATGCCAGCAAGTTCCCTCTGCACAAGAGACACAGCAACCTCAGACTATTGTTTCAGCCTTGTTAGGCATCATCAGTGATGCATAGCTGATTTCTCTCTAGGTACCGTGAGCAAGGAGTCCACGTCTGGATTACCCTATAAACTTATGGAGAGCAAGAAATGGGGTGCAAGAGTATACTGGGAACAGGCAGCAGCTGAAGTAGGCTATTTCAGCTGCTGCCGATTCTCAGTATTCTCTTGCGCCCAGTTTTTTGCTGTCCATAACTTTAAAGTGATGTATTCATTTAATCTCCCTGGTAGTTCTTTGGCTGCAATCTCATCAAGGATAGCTTCGGATAGACGCTCTGAGAATGCGGTGATTCATCCGTTATTAATCCAATCTACCTCAGAAGCCAGGGTGCGTAATTCTATGGCATACTCTGAGACAGACTGGTTCCCTTTCTTGATACACATTAGGGCACTATTGGGGTACTTTGAAAGTAGTGGTGGGCTTAACAACATATGGCCATATGGTGGAACCAAATTCCCATATTTATTCTCAGATAGGCATTTTAGTAGCCTTCTTTGTATTATATTTTTTTGTAGTCTGAGTGCGCTGCAACTATTTATTCTCTTATGTATAAACTGGTATTAATGTCTGAAGTTCGGTTCGGCAATATTCCATCTATTCGTTTAAACGATTTTAGGTTAAGTCATATCGCCACCTGGTGGCCTGATTATGTAATGTCATGTCCCTGGTTCTAAGTCATATGCCCCTGTTGGTTTGTAGGTTATTACAGATTACAAGTGAAGGAATTTATGCGTGGCTATTCTAAATATTTGGTATTCAGCTGGTTAATTTATCTGTTGACATTTGTCATGAGGTTCCCACTAATTCATTGCTGGATATTAAGCTTGAGTTTTGGGACATCATCAAATACTTGGCCTTATTAGGTTGATAATATGGTTTTAGGTTGTACTCAGCTAAAAGATTATTTTCATAGACATTAACATCTTGCTTTCTTTAGGTGCCTTGGTCATAAAGGACGGTTGCTTTGCAAGCACTGCAATTCCGTTACCTACCTCGGTCATATTTCATTGCTCATCTATAGGTTCCGGTACGCACGGATACTCCCCTTTTCATTTTACTGGGTTGCAGCACGTATCTACTGCCACCTTCTCGCTCCTATTTTTCTACATATAATCTTGTCCTGACTCAAACTTTATCAGGCACGTTTTCACAACCCCATACTTTTCTATTTTAGGGTTGTACTGGCTTTAGAGATTTAGGTTTCCAACTAGGTTTTGTTTTTCCGGTCTTAATCCATACGTTAGTTGTCCCGCGAGGCAAACACCCATCCTCATACTCAGAGGTATACGTCCCTCGGCCCAAATCATAGGTAGCCGCTTCGCATTGTCGCATAGGGAGGGCCTCCCATGTCACTCCCATTCTATCTTATGCTTTAGTTCCCACAGAGAGGCCAACACCCCGCCACGACGTTCGGTGGCCTCAAATATCCCCTCGGGCCAACGCATAGTTAGCGCCTCTCACGCCGCTTTGCAATTAGTAGGGACTCATCTGTCACGTTAAGTTAGCTTAATTCTTTGCAGCTTGGCTTCTAGCTAGCCTGCCAATACCCGGTCCCTTCGTCTCACTTATAATAATTAAGTTACATATGTATTTTTCCATTATGTATCAAGTCCTGCAGGGACTGGTGGTTCTTGTTCAGGTAGGTTGTTACATGTTTTCTCCTCTTTATGACCGGGCTCATGCAAAATCCATGTGTCCGAATAAAGTTTTCCTAAAACCTCACCACACTTGCATCAACGTCACGTTATTGGTTACACTTTACACCATTGGTTACACCATCCCTCTCAGCATTCGGTTAAATTTATCAGCAAAGGACTGTCTGAAGGGTTCCACAAGGGTTTAGTACATTTTTGACAAATGGGACACTAGACTGCAATCATTTGCGACCGCTTTAACAGACCTATAGTTGGGGTGTACAGTTATATGGACAGAACTAGATCAAGGGTTTGTGGGGGGTTTTGGTTCCTCTCCTTTTCACATTGGGGAGAACCAAGCCCATAGGGATGTCACGGGAAACACTTCACTTAAACCCTGACCAATAATTGACTTATCCATTATTCCCAGCCTTCATTCCCTCCGATGAACTTTCCTTACAATATGCCGCTATCACCTATGCCATTTGGCCCATCCTGGTGACTGGTACAGGTGCATGGCTCTAAAAACTTACATTGTCAATGTTTTTAAATTACTTCCCATTCCCCCTTCACTATAGCATCAGCATCTGCACTGCATTTAAGTGGCAAGGGTTTTATTATTTCTCACAACTCACTTTTAGCGCATGAGCAGCCCCAGACATCTGTGCTACTTGGCTGATACTTTGTGTTGGTTCTGGCTTAGTTATTACTACCTGGACAATTTCCCCACGATTGAGAACAAGGCACTCCCCCCTAGCAGCCTTACACACATGTTGGCTTTCGAGTCCCTGGCTACCCCCGTCTTCCCTCACAAGCCCTTAGGTCCTGATACCACCACACAGTTTTGGGGATCCTACTAGACTCAGTCCACATACAAGCTAGCCTTCCCCAGGACATAGTTTGAGCGCACCCTATCAGGCATTGAACACTACTTGCAACTAGGTCTTGCAACCGCAGGGAACTTAAATTACTGCTGGGGTCGCTCAATTTTGCCATGAGTATCATCCCACAGGGTAAATCCTTAATTTCCCGGTTACTACTCTTTATTCCCACGACTCACCACAGACGCATTATGTATCATGTTAGACACTCATGCAACCTCTGATTACTCATGTGGCGCTTTCCTCAAATACTGGAAAGAGCGTGCCATGTTTATTCCCCCCTCTCTGACTTTTCACCCACCCTCTGAACAGATGCCGCGGCAAACTGGGTTTACGGCCATCGGAGGGGATTAATGGCGTTGGGGGTCATGGCCTACAGACGTTAAGTCCCGGCCCAGCTGCTCCTCTACTTCGGCCTTGTTTGAATGGTATCCGATCATGACGGTTGTCATTGCCTGGGGACTATATGGTCCGGTCACTCGGTCAGATGTTATTCAGATAAACCTAGCCACATTGGGCTTATAGGCTGATCTTCTTCTCTGGTCATCCGGTGTCTGTTGAGGAACTCACATGGGTAGCCCCTTGTTCATCTTATCCCATGTATTCACGTGCTGGGTTTCTCAAACATTTCAGCTGACCACTGGCATGGGTTTCGTTTTCAGGCTTTCTTACTGACACTACCCACCACTAACCTGCCCTGCCATTTCGAGATTTGCTCATGGATTGAATGTATGGTTGAACCTTGCACGTCACATTCTCACCTTGCACTTTCAGTCGACACTAGGAAATTATGCGATAGCTTGTTCACAATTTTCACTATGTCTACTGTGGGGTTTCCAGTTCTTGACATGTTTGCTATGGTATCTATTCTGGGGGTTCACTTCTTTTTGCCACCTTAACTTAAATTATCATTTCACATGATTAAACAGTACCTTACAGATATCCAACACCACATGCTCCTACGACACCCCACAATACAGGATTCCTTTCATCTTAACTGATAAAGACCTACTGAAAGGAATTAAAAATTCAAGATACATGTACCATCTCAAAGGCTACACATCCACACGGCATATTTCATTCACTATCCGACTTATTAGATTCAGCTCCTTTTGAGCACATGACCATACGATAATAAACGGCCATACATCTAGCATGCCATGGGTTCTTACGTCCCAATGAATTTACCGCTAGGAATATGACTACCACTGAATACCTGGGAATAACTGATACCCAGACACCTTAGATCATTAGGTCCTATATCTGCATCAGTCTATACCTATCCCTATGGCACATAGGTCACAATACCCCTATTACCCCCATTGTACAGCGCTACGGAATTTGTAAGCGCTATATAAATAATAAAATCAAAAAATGTATCTACTTTAAACAATGGTGCCCTGCAAAGTTCTGGATACTTATAACACCACTTTCCAGATACAACCACTCCAACCATTATTAGAACTTCACAGCTCCATCCTTACAGCATCTTAAATCATGCTTCATGTTCACTTACTGTTAACTAGGCTCGGCCTAAATGCAAACCTTTCCTCAGGACACTCCTTTCGCATAGGGGCAGCGTCCTCAACTTCCCCTAACCACATTACAGCTCATATCATTGGGGCTATGGAACTCTGGAAAGCCTCTGCCTATGCTCTTTACATTCCAAATCCAGTTAAGGAGTTAATACAAGCTTTTCATGACTTGTCCGAATAAACGATGGTTGTTATATGATTAATTTTGTATGGTATTTTTCTTTTTGCCCACTTTTATTACAGGCCTACTGCTTTGTCGGTTCCGGCACACCACAACCGACTGTTGCCATTTGAATATGTCTATTGGTTATAATATGCTATGTTACACTATCATCACTACAAATTAAGATTATATATAATATATATATAGGTCTTGAGAAAAGTCTATTGTGACTGAAACGTCAACATTTTTGTATTCTGCACAATAAAGCAGTATTTATTTTGATATAAAACGAAGACTCCAGAGTGCTCTCTACTTGGATGATAGATATATATATATATATATATATATATATATATATATATATACATACATACAGGGAGTGCAGAATTATTAGGCAAATGAGTATTTTGACCACATCATCCTCTTTATGCATGTTGTCTGACTCCAAGCTGTATAGGCTCGAAAGCCTACTACCAATTAAGCATATTAGGTGATGTGCATCTCTGTAATGAGAAGGGGTGTGGTCTAATGACATCAACACCCTATATCAGGTGTGCATAATTATTAGGCAACTTCCTTTCCTTTGGCAAAATGGGTCAAAAGAAGGACTTGACAGGCTCAGAAAAGTCAAAAATAGTGAGATATCTTGCAGAGGGATGCAGCACTCTTAAAATTGCAAAGCTTCTGAAGCGTGATCATCGAACAATCAAGCGTTTCATTCAAAATAGTCAACAGGGTCGCAAGAAGCGTGTGGAAAAACCAAGGCGCAAAATAACTGCCCATGAACTGAGAAAAGTCAAGCGTGCAGCTGCCACGATGCCACTTGCCACCAGTTTGGCCATATTTCAGAGCTGCAACATCACTGGAGTGCCCAAAAGCACAAGGTGTGTAATACTCAGAGACATGGCCAAGGTAAGAAAGGCTGAAAGACGACCACCACTGAACAAGACACACAAGCTG